CTTTCCCTGGACGTAAGTCCCTCAGCATCTCCTTAAGTCCAAGCAGACACGACCACACGGACGTGTATTCTCCTTCTCTCTCCTTCACGAGCCCGAGTCCCTCCGGGGGACGGGGTCTGCGTCTTTTTAATCTGTGTTCCCAGCGCCAGGCCCTTCGTGGAGTGGAGGCCCTGGATGTTTGCTGAGTGGACTTCGGTTGATTGGCTGGGCAGACAGACTGAAGCCGAACACAAGTGTCCCTCGAGATGTGAGAGCATCAGGCGGGCAGAGAAGGACCAGGATGGAAACCGTTCAAAATAAAAGTCACTTATTTTTTCCTTCTTAAGTAAAAATAGTCATTTTTTTCTAGCAGCGTTATTAAACACCTACTCTTTTTGGCGTGGTGGGGAATATGAAGAGGTCTTCAAATACAGTCTCTCTTCCCAAGAGTCTGAAGATTTGGTCTGTAAAACCTGCACATGATGACAGAGCAAGCGCCACATGTACTGTGGACTCAGAGAGGAAGAGCCCGGTGACGACTGAGATCAGGCCTCCTGGGGTGGCCAGGGTTTGGGGTGGGGAGCGCTGGGTGGGTCCCATTCCAGGGGAGCCAGATGCCCTGAGCTGGGTGTCTTTGAAGTCGGGCATGCAGCGCGGGCACGTTCACCTTGACTGGCTCTAGAGCCTGCCCCGAGTTAATCGTTTGTGCGCCTTGCTTGTGTCTCTGTTTCCTAGGCTCAAACCATGAATTACGTCGGGCAGCTGGCAGGCCAGGTGTTTGTCACCGTGAAGGAGCTCTACAAGGGGCTGAACCCCGCCACCCTGTCTGGATGCATTGACATCATCGTGGTCCGCCAGCCCAACGGGAGCCTGCAGTGCTCCCCCTTCCACGTCCGCTTTGGGAAGATGGGGGTCCTGCGTTCCCGAGAGAAGGTGGTACGTGACCTGGGGGACGGGTTCTCTCCTTAGAGAAAAATCCTCGCACTTCCGTGGCCTTACGTATCCAGCGCTCCTCGCGGACCCCGGGTTTTAGCTTTCCGTTGGGAAGGGCTGGTCCCTGAGTTGACAGTTACTCAGATTGCTCTGATCTCTGTGATTGTATAAATTTCTCCAAGATTTAGTGGCACAAACCAACTGTTTATTAAGCTCCAGGGATCCTGTGGGTCAGGAATTCACACCAAGTGCAGCAGGCTGGCCCGTCTCTGCTCTTTGCCGCTTGGGGCCTCAGCTGAAGACTCAGGGCTGGGGGCTGGGATCCTGTGTAGATGCACTTGCTCACTCGGCTGGTGGCCCTTGGCTGGACTCTTAGCCGAGGCTGTCACCCAGACGCCTCCGCGCGGGCTACCCATGTGGCCTGGGCTTCCTCACACCGTGGCGGCTGGCTGCAAGGGAGGGAGCCGGGCGGACTCTGCCTTCTTTTTCTGGTCTAGCCTCGGAAGCCACGTGGCCTTACCTGTGTTGTGCTCTACTCACTGGGGCAATCACGAGCTTGCATGGACCTAGGATTGTGGTTGGGGGGGAGGAGTAGACTCCGTTTCTTGACCAGAGTGACCAACGGAGGTTTGGAATTGTGAGATATCTTGGGGATGTGTGTGACTGAAGTGTATGTAGAGACGTGGTCGTTGCCCGTGAGGTTTCCTGTTGGGATGAAGAACGTATGTTTTTCCTTCAGGTTGACATAGAAATCAATGGGGAAGCAGTGGATTTGCACATGAAATTGGGAGATAATGGAGAAGCATTTTTTGTTCAAGAGACTGATACCGATCAGGTAAGGAAGGCTGGGTGGTGAAGCTCTCTCCCGCATTTTGAGCTTTGAGCAGGGCTCATCTGGGAGCGTGTGTGGAGAGGTGATACTGGTGCCGGCTGTGTGGGTGACGGAAGAGGAGAAAAGCGGCTGTTTACCTGTCCTAGGGATTTGAGCCACAGGGTGAGTGTGTGCTGTGTCTACCCAAGACTCCGCAGTCCCAGCCTGCTGCGTCTGCTCCCTGTTTCCAGGGAGACAGAGGAGTTGAATGACACTGGCCTGAAACCATCATCCAAAGCACGCAAGTTATACTCGCGTGTCAAATCTCAGACGGCTGAAATGTTCTAATTTTTGTTTAGTGAGTGACCAAATCACATTACTTTTTTACTATGAAAAAATGTTTAACAGCTCTGTTGAGATATAATTCTCACACCATGTGCTTTAGCCATCTCACGTGTACAGTTCTGTGGTTTTTAGTGTTTTCACGGATACGTGCAAGTCATCCCTGCAGTCAATTTTAGAACATCTTCATCGCCTCAGAAGCAGACTCTGTACCCTTTAGCTACACCTCCCCTATCCCTAAAGCCCTAACTCCCCACCACCCTGAGCCCTAAGCAACCACTGATCAAACTTTCTGTCTCTATAGATTGCCCTAATCTGAACTTCCATCTGAATAGAATCACATAGTTTGTGGTCTTTTGTGCCTGACTTTCATGTATCATAATGTTTTCAAGATTCATCCATGTTCTGGCTGTGTCAGTACTTGATTCCTTTGTATGGCCGAATAATATTCCACTGTATCTGTATACCACATTTCGTTTATCTTTTCATGTGTTGGTGGACACTTGGGTTTGCTTCCACCTTTTGGCTGTTGTGAATAACGCTGTGTACAAGTTTTCGTATAGACACATGTTTTCATTTTGGGGGGTATATACCTGGGAGTGGAATTGCTGGGTCATACGTAACACTGAATTTACCACTGAGGAGCTGCCAGACTGTTGTCCAAAGCTGCTGCACCATTTCACGTTCCCACCAGCAGTGCACGAGGGTTCCAATTTGTCTATACCCTCATCAATACTTGCTCTTTGACTTGGTGATTCTAGCCATCCTGGTGGGTGTGAGGTGGTATCTCATCATGGTATTGATTTGCATTTCCCTAATGACTAATGATGTTGAGCACTTTTTCATGTGCTTATTGGCCATTTGTATGTTTCCTTTCGAGAAGTGTCTATTCAGATCCTTTGATCACTTTTTATTGGGTTATTTGTCTTTTTATCCTTGAGTTATAAGAGTTCGTTATATGTTCTAGATATGAGTCCCTTATCAGGTAGATGATTTGTAAATATTTTCTTCCACTGTGTGAGTTGTCTTTTCACTTTCTTGATGTTGTCCTTTGAAACACACAAGTTTTAAATTTTGATGAAGTCCAATTTATCTGTTTTCTCTTTGTGGCTCGTGCTTTTGTTGTCACATCTGAGAATCCTTTGCCGAGTTCCAAGTCATGAAGATTTACCCCCATGTTTTCTTCTAAGACAAACCATTTCTTTTTACTCTTTCATTCACTGGGAAAGCCACTTTGAAGGGATCTGATGTAGAGATTCCTCAGTAAAAGCCACTTGAGCTAGTTCCTTTATGAGAAGATAGCCTTTATAGAGGAACGGCTCTAAATAGCTCCAGGCTCTAAAATGAATGCCCGTAGTTGCAATTTCAGGACAAAAACATCCCAGGCTCTGCTTCCTTTTGGTCTTCCCAGAGGTGCGATGGTCTCTCCCAGCCTCAGCCTTCTCGCTCAGATGTGGATTTTATACGTGTCGCACATTGTCTGACGCTCTCTCACCCACTATATTTATTTAATTATTTACTTGTGGGCCATGCCGCGGCCTGCGGGATTTAGTTCCCTGACCAGGGATCGAACCTGAGCCCCCCTGCAGTGGAAGTGCAGAGTCTTAACCACTGGACCGCCAGGGAGGTTCCTCTCTAAGCTACTTGAAACTATCAGCAGCGTGCTTGTTAATCCCCCCTCTCTTTTGTATATATTCTTTACTTCTCTTTTTCCCTAGATTTTCTTTCAAACTAGTTTATTTAGGGGTTCCATTGTCTCTCCTCAGTACATTTTATGTATTTCTCATATGCTCCTTCACTCATTAGTTCACCTAGTTCCGGGTGTCACCTTGATCGGCCAACCATCTTCGTAACAAGATTTATTGACAAGTCCTGGGTTTTCTGATAGAGCTTCATTAATTTCATTTACTTCTCCTGATAGAGGAGAATAGAGCTCACGAGCAGCTTTCACGCTTTCCAAAGCACCGCACTCCTCTTGTTTGTTCAGTTCTGTTGCAACTTCAGGCAGACTACAGTAAACAACATCTCCCAAAGCTTCCTGTGTAAAACTGCTGATTCCCACTGTTCCAATACCGTTTTCTGTTGTTATCCATTCATGTATGTCTGTGAATTTTTGCATATGTGTCAGGCTGTATGTACAGTAGTTACACTGTTCCATTTTTATCTCACAATGCTGTAAGGTCGGGATTATCATTTCCATTTTTCTGATGAGGGAAACAGACTCAGAAGTTAAGTGACTCTGCCCAAGATCACATAGCTCATCAGAGGTGGAACCCTATTTTTTACTACTTGTTACTAGGTTTCTGATAAGAAATGAGTCATTTGATAATAAAATGATTGGTGAATCATTATAAAACAACTATTAAATTGACAGGCGGTGGAGGTTTTTTTTTTGGTTGTTGTTATTTTTGTTCTTTTGTAGAGAAGAGAGTCAGTACGTAATCACTTGACAGCCACATACCTAGGTGTGCTCTGGTGAAAGTAGGCACTTGGGGCACGGTGTGGGGACACTGTCAGATGTTTTCTTTAAAAATTATTATTAGCCTCTTAATTCACTGAATGTTAAAAACACACACATTCTTTCTTACACACACACACACACACACACACACACAGAGTGCAAAACGGAGTCCAGTTCCCAGGGTAATGTGATGACTCCAAGCCCATTTTTTTCCTCTTTACCCTGGAACTTTCAGACCAAGTTGAATTTTGGTAGCCTGAAATAACTGATAATTACCTCACTTTGTTATAATTACGAAAACGCAGGATTCAGTACAAAATGGCAGTTAGTGACTTGTCGACTTTATGACCACCTGTCAAATTCGGCAGCCGCGTCTGCAGATCCCGTGACCGCCCTGTGCTCCCCACTGCCCCCCGCCCGTGCCTGGGCTCCGGAATGAGCACTGCTGGGTTGTCGGCACCACCAGCTCCTTAAACCCCAACTAACGACGCTCCTTCTCGGAAATGTGTTCTGTCTTTCAGGAGGTGATCCCCGTGCACCTGGCCACCTCCCCCATCCTGTCGGAAGGAGCCTCGAGGATGGAGTCCCAGCTGAAGAGGAGCTCCGTAGATTGGATGAGAAGCCTGGACCCCAACTCGTCAGCCCAGGTCTTGCCTCCCAGCGAGACCCCTTCAAGTGGCTCTTTAGTGAAGAAACGAAGGAAGAGGAGGAGGAAGTTGCCGCTGGACAGCCTGAGACGGGACGACAGCACGAGCGCATCCGAGGATGAGGACATGTTCCCCATAGAGATGAGCTCGGACGAGCTGCTGGACAGCAGTAGGTAAATGTGGGTGAAAGGCAGGGCCTCAGCTCGAACTGGGTGAATTCATTGTTTAGGATGATCCTTTTATCTATTTATTTTTTAAAAAATTGACGTATAGTTGATTTATAGTGTTGCACTAGTTTCAGGTGTACAGGAGTGAATCAGTTTTTTTTAATATATACGTATATATTACATACATATATATACGTATATCTCTATTCTTCTTCCGATTCTTTTCCCTTATAAGTTATTACAGAGTATTGACTAGAGTTCCCTGTGCTACACAGTAGGTCCTTGTGGTTTATCTATTTTGTATATAGTCGTGTGTATCTGTTAATCCCAAACTGCTAATTTATCCCTCCCCCCTTTTCCCTTTGGTAACCATAAGTTTGTTTTCTATGTCTGTGGGTCTATTTCTGTTTTGTTCATTTGTATCTTTTTTTTTTTCAATTGCACATATAAGTGATATGGTACAATATTTGTCTTTCTCTGTCTAGCTTACTTCACTTAGTATGATGATCTCTAGGTCCATTCATGTTGCTGCAAATGGCATTGTTTCATTCTTTTTGATGGCCGAGTAGTATTCCATTATGTACATATACACCATATCTTCTTTATCCATTCATCTGCTGATGGACATTTAGGTTGCTTCCATGTCTTGGCTGTTGAGAATAGTGCTGCTATGAACACTGGGGTACAGGTATCTTTTCGAATTGTGATTTTCTCCAGATATTGGCCCAGCAGTGGGATTGCAGTAGGATTATTCTTATAAACTTTTTTCCCCCAGAATTTCTTACTCTTCTGTTAATGCATTTGAGACTGAATTTTGGAATCCTGCAGGCCCGATTCTAAAGTAACATAAAGATGGGATGTAGCTTGTGACAGAGAGACGATTGGTAACATCCTTGGTGGTAACTCCAGCTTTCCAGATCAGAACCAAGAAACAGGAGCTCAGCAAATGAATACTTCATGCACGAAACCGTTGTTTCAGAACCGGCTTATTCCTATTTGAGCACCACCTGTGAGCCCGGCATTTGGGCTGATGGATAGCTGGAGGCCGATCTTTTATAGACTTAGGGCCACAGGTGAATGTAGAACATGACCGGTTTCTCCACAAGCAGACTTTTCTTTTTTCTTTTTTTTCTTCTTTTTTTTTTTGCGGTACGCGGGCCTCTCAGTGTTGTGGCCTCTCCCATTGCGGAGCACAGGCTCCGACGCACAGGCTCAGCGGCCATGGCTCACGGGCCCAGCCGCTCCGCGGCACGCGGGATCTTCCCGGACCGGGGCACGAACCCGTGTCCCCTGCATCGGCAGGCGGGCTCTCAACCACTGCGCCACCAGGGAAGCCCCACAAACAGACTTTTCAATTTTGATGAGGCCCGAAGTTGAATGGACACCTGTTGTTATTTCTCTTTGCTTTTAATAGTGTGGCGGAATGCTGTTTCTGGGTATTACTATTTTGGTGAAAAATGCTATTTTTAAAAGCCAAAACATTTATAAAGAATATTTGATGTTTCATATTTTTATGTAATTCAGTGTAATTTTTGATCATTGTTTTTGTGTCTTGTTAACACAAAAGAAGGGAGAAGGAGGCATAACTGCATCGTTTTGCTTGTGCACTTGACGCTGTAGCACAACCTTGTAAATTAACTATGCTTCAACTTAACAAAAAAAGGGAGGAGGAACATCAGGATTAACCTCTGCTTTGTTATTTAGAATAGAATTTTTTTTTTTTATTTCCTGGCTAAAAATAAAGGCACATTGGCAACGTCGATTTTCCTAACTGTGGCCTCTGATCTGCTGTGGGCTCAGAAGCCTGGGTGGTTGGGTTTATTACAGTCGCCTTCCCTGCGTGGCTTTTAGTTCCAGAACTTAGTGTTATGTATTTCAGATAACATCCAAAAATAGAGACCAGTGGCCTCAGCATGAGTGAAATAGTGAATCCTATTTCGTTGAGCATGCTATACCTGAAACGAGGTAGATTTGCAACCATTTCATAATTATAAGACTACGATTGGTTGTGACATTTATTTAACTCTGCTGGACGAAACATTATCTGTGTACGGCCATACAGGGATTTGGTAGCTCACTCGTGCATGGCAAGAGTTTTATTAACCCTCTGGGTACAGTTTTGGGCCCAATCTACCTCTCAGCCTTTTGTGACATGAAATGTGAAAGACAACTCCGTAGGCCCTGCAGCGTAAGTAACAAGCAGTGTGGTCATCGAGCCCATGTCTAAATCCCAATTCTTCTTTTTTAAAAAAATTTTTTTTTGTTTTAAATTTTTTTAAATTTATTTATCTATGGCTACATTGGGTCTTCGTTACTGTGCGCGGGCTTTCTCCATTTGCGGCGAGCAGGGGCTAACTCTTTGTTGCGGTGGCTTCTCTTGCTGTGGAGCACGGGTTCTAGGCGTGCGGGCTTCAGTAGTTGTGGCACGTGGGCTCAGTAGCTGCGGCTCACGGGCTCTAGAGCACAGGCTCAGTAGTTGTGGCGCACAGCCTTAACTGCTCCGCAGCATGTGGGATCTTCCCAGACCAGGGATCGAACCCGTGTCCCCTGCATTGGCAGGCGGACTCCCAACCACTGCACCACCAGGGAAGCCCTAAATCCCAATTCTTGAACAAAATCACTTTCCATTTATAATTCAGCCAAAGCATGAGCACACAAAACATTTCTCTGAGTCACTTTTTTCCTGTCCATTCCTGTCCTGGAATGTGCCTGGAATATGCCTGGGTAGTTTATTTATTTTATTTTTAAACATCTTATTTATTTATTTATTTTTGGCTGCATTGGGTCTTTGTTGCTACATGCGGGGCTTTCTCTAGTTGCTGCGAGCAGGGGCTACTCTTCGTTGTGGTGCATGGGCTTTTCATGGAGTTGGCTTTTCTTATTGCAGAGCACAGGCTCTAGGCGCATGGGCTTCAGTAGTTGTGGCACATGGGCTCAGTAGTCATGGCTCGCGGGCTCTAGAGCGCAGGCTCAGTAGTTGTGACGCATGGGCTTAGTTGCTCCGCGGCATGTGGGATCTTCCCGGACCAGGGCTCGACCCCGTGTCCCCTGCATTGGCAGGCGGACTCTTAACCACTGTGCCACCAGGGAAGTCCCGCCGGGGTAGTTTAAAAGGAGATCATGTTAACTTACGAAGTATTAGCGATAATCAAGGAAAAAATGGAAACTTGCCTTTATTATGAATCCATCACTAATAATTCTTTGACTTTGATTTTTTTTTTTTGGTCTCCAGAGCTCTTTCTAATGATATACCTCCGTTCCAAGGAGATATCCCTAAGGAAAACCTTTCCCCAGTCATGACTTACCCTCAGTCAGCATCTTACCCGAATTCCGACAGAGAGTGGTCACCTAGCGCCAGGTGAGTGGCTGGTGTGTGTACGTGTGTGTTCACCTGTCCTGGTCCAGAGGATTCCAAGTCAGTTACAGGAAACATGTTTAATAAAATGGTGAAATCTAAGTAAAAAATGAAACAAATTAGGACTGGAAAAAACACAGTTTAGAGTAAGAGGTACAGATCAGGCTTAAAACCAGAGAATGTGCAGATCATAAACTTCTATCTAATAGCAAAATGGAACTATAGGTATGGCTCTTAGCTTCCCCAGGAGACACTGAAAGGCCAACCACTTGTTAAGTTACATAAAGCTAATTGTCAACAGGAGCAGACAGGTGACAGAGCCTTTCTGGATACTGAGCCCTAAAGTGGGATTCAAGAGCAAAGAGATTGCTTCGGGGGCCCCTGCGGTCATTCGGGGCTGTGAGAATGATGCCTTCTTCCCTTGCTGCGTTTACAAATATGGATTTCCCGGAAATGAGCTCTCAAGGGGCCCTAGACTTCCTGTATCGACTTGGAGAACCAGAGCTGCTCGGTGTGCAGGGAAGACTCTAAAGCCTTTAAGGCTATGAAACCTGTGAGGATATGTGAGCCCTTCTGAGCAGTTTTCAGGACTGGGGAGGGGACAGAACTGAAGCGTGCCTTGTCAGCAGGGATAATATCACCCCTGTCGGGACACAACTTGGTTCTGGGGTGGCAAAAAATCTTAGATACTATAATAAATAGTGTGTAGCCTCCAAAGGGCCACAGTGCATAAGCAGATGCATAGTATATCCATGGTATTACAATTTCATGGTGGAGGGAGGGCTATTGGGAAAAAAAAAGGTCCCGGAGTTGTGGCAAGAATGGAAAAGGGGTTGGGAAGCACTGATCTAAGCGACAGTGACATCCTTAGGTTACTCGTGCTCCTAACGTGTTAGGTTTGCTTCTGGTCTAAAGGGGAAGTATCGGAGCCCCTAAGCCAGGCTCACGTAGATGCCACTCCCAGTTCCAGTCTGACCCGAGTAATCTCATTAATGAGATGGTATATGGTCAGTGCTGTGTGCTGAATTTGAGGTTGGAGAAAAATTGGATGCATCACATGCCTGGTTTCTAGCCAGGACCATGACAGTGAATGTTCGTCAGCCGGGGCGGGGCTGGGGGCCTGTGGAGTCCCCTCATGGGGGTCTGTCTGTCCTCAGGCCAGCCCTGTCCAGTGGAAACATAATGCTAGCTACATACGTAATTTAAAATTTTCTAGTAACCATCCTTAAAAAATGAAAAGAAACTGATGAAATTAATTTTGATGATCTATTTCAATGACCTGGTATATCCAAAATATTTTCATTTCAGGTAATCAGTTTTTTAAAACATTATTGAGCTGTTTCACATTCTCATTTTCATAAGCCTTTGAGTCGTGTATCTCATACGTACAGAACATCTCAGTTTGGACCAGTCACATTTCAAATGCTCAGTAGCCACATGCAGCCCACGGCTATCATATTGGACAGTGCAGCTGTAAGACCTTTCTAGAACCTTGTACATTCTCTCCCTAGGTCTGTGGAGTTAAACCCTGAGGGAAAAAGCACAGTACTTTTAGGAAGAAAATGATGTAGAATATTTAGAAACCACTAATAGGTAGAAAAATCTGTTCAAACACTCTAATTTTAAGCATTTAAAACAAATGTTTTAAACACAATCCTGAATATGTTTCTCTATCTTTCGTGTTTGGCTCTGTGGATCCAGAAGAATGACCATGTCAGATTAAGTGGTCTGGCCACTGTTAAATGCAATTACAAGTTAGGATAAATAGATACATTTCCGTACTTGGGTTTATGTGTTTTCTTTTAAGAGACAGTTACCAGCCCAAATTATCAAGCCTTTTGGAGTAAGTCATTTGATTAGGCACTAAATTCTGACCCAAGAAAAGCAAGCATTTATGGGCATATGGTTGAAATAGAAAGTGAAATGGGTGTCTTGGCAGTTTCCTGTTTTTGTGGTTCAGAAGATTCATGTTGATTTCTTAGTGATTTCAACATGTGATCCTCTGCTATTGTTCCATGCCCAAGTACCTTCACTTTCTTAAAGATGTTAGCGTGGAGAGTAGTCAAATAATTGATAAGAAATTTTGTTTAATTGAATTGACCTGTGATTTCTCTCTCCTTTAATGTGGATCACGTGGCATCCAGTAGCCTGACAGATTGCAGGGGGAGCCCCCCTCGTCTGGCAGTTGCGGCCGAGGGCGGCCTTTCTAGTTCTTGCCCTCCACAGTCTTCCCACTTCCACGCTTCGGAAAGGTAGATGGGTTATCTTCCCACCGTGGATGTCTTTGATAATAAAAACTTTGATCTAACTCTTAGAACTGTGTGTTGCCATTAACCAAATTACTTATGTGGAAAATACATATAGATTCTATGAAGTGAAAATGTAGATTTAACTCTTACCAATCCATTTTACCAACTAACCAAATCACTTATGAAGAAAATACGTATAGATTATTACTTTTCCTTTCATTTTAAGCATTTGTCGATGGTTAGATTTTTTTTTTTAAAGTACTAAATGTAACTCTCTGGAAATCAGGGTCACACATATAATTCTTTCTAATTTTGTGAAGTGCTTTGAAAAATACAACAATGCATTGAAAATTGGGAATATGATCTCTGTTTTGTGTCTGGGGTTGTTCAACAAATAAGCTTATGAGACTTTTTTAAGATGTTGCTTAAGCATAAGGAGAGTTATTATTATAACTCACTAAATAGCTTACGGACCTTCCGGGACGTCCCTGGCGGTCCAGTGGTTAAGACTTCACCTTCCAAGGCAGCGGGTATGGGTTCAGTCCCTGGTCGGGGAGCTAAGATTCCACACACTTCACGGCCAGAAAACCAAAACATAAAACAGAAGCAATATTGTGACAAATTCAGTAAAGACTTTAAAATGGTCTACATCAAAAAAAAAAAAATTCCTAAAAAAAAATAGCTTATAGACTTTCTGCATAATATAATCGGATGTTTCCACAGCATTTGTAGCACAGAATTTTGGAGAATAGCATAGGATGGACTTGAAGGTTTGGGATCCTAGGTTAGAGTCTTCATCTGAGGCAGAGGCCTTAGATTCCTGCCACCATTCCCTCAACGTTGCCCACGCTTTGACCTGCCTGCTTTGTAGACTTACAGGGTTTTCTTTAGAAACCTGAACAGAGAAGCTGTGATTAACTTCTACCTGGGAAACTGGTTTTTTTTTTTTTTTTTTTTTTTTTTTTTGTTGGTTTGTTGGTCTTAAGAAGTCCAGTTATCGCGAGGATGTTCTTTTTGCCTCCGAATTCGGTTATGTAAATTTGGGAAATTAAAAATTTTTTATTTAAATATCATTTAAAATAAGAGCACCTTTTTAAAACTCTTACATCCTCAGAATCCTTCGGCGGCCTGGACTTCTTCAAGTTTAGGGACTTTTCAGGGAGAGGTGGGGGCGTGGAGGGCACAGGCCCCCTCTGACATGTGCCACATCTGACAGCTGTGTAATTATGGGCAATCCACTTCCTCTCTCAGGGTCTCAGTTCGTGTTTAGATCAAGGGGGTAGGGGATGGATGATCCCTGAAGCTTGTGAGTCTCTGATTTCCTTCTTTGGACCCAATATGATTACAATAAATCTTGATGCCTGCCACGGCGGAGCACAGGCTCCGGATGCGCAGGCTCAGCAGCCATGGCTCACGGTCCCAGCCGCTCCGCGGCATGTGGGATCCTCCCCGACCGGGGCACGAACCCGTGTCCCCTGCATCGGCAGGCGGACTCCCAACCACTGCGCCACCAGGGAAGCCCCTGTTTTTCTTTTTGATTGAAGAACCCAATCCCAGGACGCACTTCACTCTCAGGTTACTGTGCAGAAGAAAGACCACTTTAAAATGAGGTCAGCTAAGTTGTGAGCAGTTATAACTGATGTCCCTGATTGGAATTTCGGGAAAAATGCTGAAAACTATTATGGCTAATAAATGCATTCATTTTGAAAATCAATCAGTGACCTTGAAGCTTATTTTTTTGAACAACCCTTATCTTAAAAGTCTAATATTTGGTAATCGTATTAGAAATTTTGGAATCATCTTTCACATCGATCACACTCAGCATTGGGAGTCTTTTTCCTAATTCATCTTCGGTCTGTCTGAATTCTCCCAACAAGCAGCGCAGACTGTGCTCACGTATTTGGGTGCAGCATCCTTCCGAGAGGCTGGTGCGGCCTGGGGGCCAGCGTTTATTGTAGTGGCACAGTGAATGTGAGAGGTGGCACGTCTAGCTTATGGCTCACACAGGGCTGGGTCCTTTGTGAATATGAATTTTCCCACCTGCATGCCTCTATGGAAACCGAATGGCTTGTAGCTTTTATCACAGGATCAGAATGTTAGGGATTCTGGAGTTGAGCAGGGTGACAGAGAACCGTGTTCAGCGTGTGCATTCTTCTAGAGTGGGGTTTGGTAAACTACAGCCCGTGGCCCCAATCCGGCCCACCCCCTGTTTCTGTAAAGTTTTATGGGGCACAGCCACTTTGTCCATATATTGCCTGTGGCTGCCTTTGCACCACACGGGCAGAATTGAGTAGTTGCTGCAAAGATCACATAACCCACACAGCCTGGAATTCTTGCTACCTGGCGTCTTAGAGAAAACGTTTGCCAACACCTGACTCCAGAGCAGGCTCAGTCTAAAGGGCTTGACTTAATTTTGTGCGGTGGGTAAGACAATGTATTGTTCCAAAGAATTTATAACAAAATATAAATAAATTGTATTCTTTTCAAACAAATGATCTGAGGTTTGGGTGCAGCACCGATGAGGGTGGGAAGCCAGTTAACGATGGATTTCCCCCGTGATGCCTCTGGAGAAAGAATGACCCAGGTCACACTTGTCGGCACAAAGGCCCCTCACTGGAGGCCACAGCGCTCCATTTGCACATGTCACAGATACTGAACGTGTAATTCTGGACACTTCGGTGCCAGAAAAGCACTGACCCTTTGGAGAAGAGCAGACTTAAGACACTAGAGGAAGCAAGACAGATGGGCGGTGATGAGCGCTTCACCTCTCAGATGTCTGGAGGGCCCAGCGTTCCTTCTCAGGGGACTCCTTCCTTATGGGCACGAGTGCGTGTGTGTGTATGTGTGTGTGTGTGCGCGCGCAAGCACGCTCATGCGTGTAGAGGTGTCCCATCGTTTACACGCCCACGGTATGCTATCTCAGGGTCCTTCTCTCCACAGACTGGCCAAGCGGAGCCCGGGGGCTGCCACGTGCCGTTGACATGGGTGGAGGGCGGTGGGCGCCCAGGGAGGAGGAACCAGCCAGCGTCCCCCTCAGTGTGAAACGATGGAGAGAAGCAGCATTTAGTCTGTTTGTCCGAATGGCTGGACTAAAGAGAGCCAGGAGCAGTTTAGCTATTCAGGGTCCCTGTTTGTCTGAAACATGCTGTATGTCATCCACGAGCTCTCCTTGTCCTGGCAGGAAAGTTCTGTTCCCTTGGAGCTGACATCTAACTTGAACAGATAAATGAAACCAAGCACATGGGTGAGAGGTGACTTAGGGGAGACCGTGTGAGGTCTGTGAGAGAAGGTGCAAAAGGAAAATTGCAGGGGCTTTCTTTCTCACATCATTTAAAACTGTCGTCTTAGAGGAAATGGTGCAGGAGATGGAAGACCAGAGATAATTAAATGGGTCTTTCTTCACATCCGGATGTTGTTGAGAAGGCTGTGAGAACTCTGTAGATAAGTTGATGGTTTCTGTGCTTGGACAGAGGTATGATGGCTCAGGGCTCAGGAGTGAAAATGTAGAAAACGCAGAGAGGCAAACCCAGGTTACAGCCACTTAAAAGCTGGTCTGAGAATTAAGCATCATGATGTGTTGCAGGAAGAGCTTAGCAAATAGGAATCTTTGAAGTATTCTTGGAAGATATAATATTTTGCAAAATCTCAGCTTGGAGGTCCCTGCCACGTTAGTGAGTTATGGGTGGCATCTGGCATTTGTGGTAAAGTTGGCCCATGATCAGTTTCCCGTTTCATCTCTCTTTTTTCCAACTTCCCCTTTTAAATGCTCCTCCTTTTCATCTTTACTTACTTGGAATTTGGCGGCAGGTTGGGACAGGGCTATGCAAATTGGGAGCACCTTCCCCCTTGGCGCGTGTTCTGTCGACCCCTGGTGGCCACAGAGGGGATAGTCATAAAGCTGTGGACATAAGGCAGTGGTGGGTTGGGTGCATTTTTCTGGGCTCTCCCAAACCATAGAATTCTGGGCCAAAAACAGTTGTAAAAGTTTCCCTTCCCACTTTAATCATGCATTTGTGTTTTCTTAAGTCCTTCAGTTTCCCGACCTTCGACACCTAAAAGTGATTCGGAATTGGTCAGCAAGTCTGTGGACAGGACAATGCAGAAGGATAATCTAGAAATGCTCTGGCTTTGGGGAGAATTGCCCCAAGCCGCAAAGGTAAGTTCCCCCCTCCGCCGCCCGCTCAATTCTGCCATATGCACCGAAGGTAGTTTCGAAAAACATGTAATGGGCACAGTTCTTTCTTTCAAGAAATTTTATTTCATACTGCAATGTGTTACAAGAACCTTGAATTATATTATTATATTGCAAGCTGGGGCTTTTTAAAAAAAAAAAAATATTGTAAGATCCTTGGAAGGTGCTACGGCCTCTTGTATCCCCAGTAAATCTTTGTGATATGAATAAATGAATGAGTGAGTGAGTGAAGATGGAAAGCATTCCTATTATGACTCAAGAAGGGCAGCTCTTTGGAGACTAGGTCTGTTGAGGCTGGAGTTGTGGGTTAATTCGCTTTCTACGTTATTTAGCTTATTTAGCTTTCACGGAAAATGCTGATTTCTCTGCCCACAAGTGGTAGTGCTGACCCAGCCAACCATCTTTACAAATTCATGTCATTTGTTGCTGGAGAAACGGCACGAAAGTGCAAACCCATCACTTCTTCTGGCAAAACAGTTCCGGCCACAGATCCACTGTTGCATTGTTTTCATTTGTGTTCGAAGCTGTGGGATCAGATACAGAAATGCATACCCTCTCCCCACTTTCTGGCCCACAAATTGCATTTCGGTTTCTGTTTGGATAAATCTTTTCCATAACTGGAAACTCCTTGGAGAGATAGAGTCAGAAATGCTAATTTCCCACTCATGTGAACCAGCCACCAAGTCTGCCCTTGTTCATTCACGTTTTGCGGGGGTAGACTTCGTTGAAATATAACACATGGGCAGAGAAATACCCAGATCCTAAGTGCTGAGATCAGTAAATTTTCACACTTGTGAACGTGTCCACGTGACTTGCACCCAGACCAGGCAGTGGGGCTAAATCAGAACTTGGAAACCCTCCGACCCTTTGCAGTTACTGTTCCAACTGACCGCCCCACCCCACCCCCCCGCCCCCGCAAAACCCCCAGGATAAACCCAATCTTGACTCTAACAGCAGAGATTAGTTTTGCAAGATTCATCATGTTGTTGGGTGTAATCATAATTCACTTGTTTTTCTTATTGCTGCAAACGCCCTGTGGTGTGAATACACTTCCCTTTCTCCTGCTGGACGTTTGCATTCCCTTGCTAATCTCACTCACTGCTATTTGGCAGTTGATGTTTTCTGTGAAAGTTCATTCACTTTGGAAGTACCGTCCTTGGTTTCCAGACCTTTCGGCAGGTACGGAATCACCAGGTGACTCCTGAGGCTTCACCGTGTCCTGCCAAGTGTGGGCATGGCTCTGGAGACCTTGCCTGCCCAGTTGTTCTTTGGTGACTCAGTTTCTCTCTGACCTTCTCTCTCCCTCCCTGCCCCTTTGATCTAGTCATCTGCACACAAGATGAAAGAGTCCAGCCCGATGAACAGTAGAAAAGTCTGCGATGAGATGCACTTTCAAGCCATCCACAGTGAATCTTCAGACGCGTTTAGTGACCAGTCACCGACACTGGCTGGGGCGTCTCCTGTGCAGCCGCAGTTGGAGCAGAACAAGCCGCAGACGGAGATTCAGTTCGCGAACGAAGATGTTGAGGCCTTAGGAGCCGCAGCACCCCCGTTGCCTACGATCGAAGAGTCCAAAGCCCTCTCGGCCAGTGCTGCCCCGGCAGCCAGCAAGACAGATTCGCCTTCTAGGAAAAAGGGTGAGAATGCCGGCGCTTCCCAGCTTCCTCCTGCGAACTTGGGGCTCGGAAAACGACAGCTTCTTACCCCCAGAGTTCGGGGTGCTTCAGAGTGGAAACAGGACACCTCTCCTGTTCAGTCCATACCCTTTTGCTGAATATGTGAGTTCTCAGAATTTAGTCATAGAAAATCCGGCCTGAAGGAGGCCTCGGGGATGGTGTGGTGAGCCCCGCCCTGAGCAGGTCAGGGACGCTGGGGTCCAGCACACGCTGGGACTGCACAAGACGTTGATGACTAAAGCTAATCTATGCCCCCTCTCCCCTTGCCCCTAGTTTCTCTCTAGTGCATTATCCTGTTTTAATTTCTGTGTACTGTGTGTCACTATTTCAAATGATCACTTGTTTCTTTTTTTGCCTGACTTCCCTACTAGAACATATGTGCTCTACAAGGTCAAGAATCTTTTTGGTCTGTTTACCTGTTTCCGTGGTACTTAGAATAGTGGTTGGCACGTAGTGGGGGCTCCTTGCGTACAGCTGAATGCCCTCCTGGTTGCCTGTCTGGAGCAATGACATTAAGCTTGTCTGTTAGCCGTGTGGCTTTGTGCAGTGTTCTAGGTTTGTATGAACCAGTGACATAATTCTCCAGCAGAAGTAAACTGGAAGGCTGCAGTCATGGTGCCCAGGGGCCGATGGTACCCTCTTTAGGGTTCTCTGCTTCAGAGTCTTGATGGGGAAGTGCTTAATGAAAGCGTTATTGTTGACTAATAATAATAACAACAAAACCGATGCCATTAATACCAATAATAATAATAATAATAATGGTAATCGTGTCAGTATATTGAGTGCTTAGTACTCTTCAGGTCCTTCCCAGCTGGGGAGCTGAGGCTCAGTGAAGTTAGGCCACCGGCCCAGGCCACACGGCTGGCGAGGGTGGGAGCCGCATGCGAACCTGGGCCGTCGGCCTCGGTGGCGATGCTGTGCCGCCGGCTTCTAGCTCTTGGGTTTCTTGCAGTTTGGGCACTTCTGAGCACATCTGCACACTGTGCTCAAGTGCCCTTTCTGGAGACACTCAGAAGTCCATGAGGTTGTTTCTGGAGAACGGTGCTCTGATCTGACCCCTTTGCTGTTTTAGACAAACGAAGCAGACACCTTGGTGCCGACGGCGTCTACTTGGATGACCTCACAGACATGGATCCCGAAGTCGCTGCCCTGTATTTTCCCAAAAAGTAACAATCCTTTTTATTCTTCATATCATTTTCTGTAATCTGAATATTAATCCGGGAGTCCGCTTTTTCCTTACATTTGATTAGAAAGTAAGTAAGAAAAGGCCGCAGGAGGCTCATGTTTTACTGTGAGAAGAAACCAATGAAAGCAGTGGACCCTCTGTGTAGATGTGAGTGTGTGGGTGTGTCCCCGGGTGGCATCTGAGCGGGAACGCAGGCACGAGGTCACCTCCCCGATGGCACCAGGGTGGTGTCGCAGTGGTCAGTGGCCCGCAGCCCGAATCAGTGGCCAAGAGCAGGCAGCTCTGTGGCCCTGTCCCTCCCCAGGGGAGAGTCCCCCGTGGCCACTGGGGGCCCATCTTCAGTTCTCCCGTGATTTGCAGGGAGGGCCAGATCCTCGGAGCACGTAGCAGAGGACTGTGGCCTCTTAGGGCAGCGTGCTTTCTCTTCCGTCGGTTTCAGTGTGTCTGGGAGAGGGTGCAGGGAGACGTAGAGGCCAAAAATGACCTTCCCTCCCGAGGTCGTTCACTGAGCTTGTCTGTCTTTGTCATGGTGCCTGAATGAAAGTCTGTCCTGGGATGAAATCATTGGCTCCTCTGATTGCCAGAGCCTCTTGATATCCATGTGAGACCTCACAGCCCGTTCCACTCTTCTGCTTCCAGCGGAGACCCTTCTGGGCTCACAAAACACGCCAGCGACAACGGAGCCCGCTCAGCCAACCAGTCCCCGCAGTCCGTGGGCAGCTCTGGCGTTGACAGTGGCGTGGAGAGCACCTCGGACAGCCTGAGGGACCTGCCGTCCATCGCCATCTCCCTGTGCGGCGGCCTCAGCGACAACAGGGAGATCACCAAAGGTACCGTCCGGGAGCCGGGCTCAAGCCAAGAGCGCCCCCTGGTGGCCGATGATGGGAACGGCTCGAAGCCTGGGCTCCTAGAATGCGTTCAGGTCACGGGCGATGTTCTCTGGCCCGGTTAGTGGAGCAAACGTGACCCACTGTTGCTCAGGACCCAAACGTTGCTGCCTGGCGGTTGGCTGACCTCAGGGTTCTGTGGGTCACACGTGGCTCCAGGCAACAGCGAAGCCACTGGGGTCACGGGTCGTCAAGTGTACTCGCAGAGCACAGCGTGTGCCCGTCCTGCAGGGGTGTCCCAGGGCGGCAGCGTCAACACGGGGAAAATGCAGTACGTTGCAAGTGTGCAGAAGTGCCGGAGGAGGGAGGGATGTCTGAGCAAGTGCTGGGACACATCCCGGCTGCATCCGAAGGGGGCACCCACCCTACTTTTAACAGTGGTGTCCCAGCATCTTACGCCAGTTATGTGGTGAGGTGGCCCTGGGACCCCCAGTCGATGCAGTCAGCCATTCCAGCTGATGATTCCTGGCCCTGGTGGCCCTGGGTGTTTCCCACCCCCAACCTGCCTTAGGCAGGTCACTGCGCTTTCATCTGTGACTTTGCTCATCCTCACGACCACCGAGGGGGTAGGCGAGGTTCCTATTCCCGCGTTAAGCGTGAGGGAACTGAGGTTTGGGCAGGTGGATCACTTGCCCAAGGTCACACCAGTGACTGTGACTTAAACCTGGGTGGCCGGACCTTGAGCCCTGCTCCCCGGTCGTCTGCTTCTGCGGACACGTGTGTTTACCGTTGTCCCACACGCCTGCTGCCGCGTAAGCGCGTGTGCACTGATTAAGGGTCAGCCGGCCCCCCCATCCTCCGAACGCCCCACCTCCCTCCATTTATGTGCAGACACTGTCCCCAAACTAATGGAAGCCCCCTTTGCAAATAGATTTTATAGGATTGTCTGCACAGTTGGAATGTATAAACTCTCAAAATACCTGTGAATATGAGCGAGTGAAAAACAGGCCTGGTTTTTGAACCAAATTTTCCTTATGGTTTCCCTGTGCTTGCTTTCACAGATGCGTTTTTGGAACAAGCCGTGTCATATCAGCAGTTTGTGGACAACCCTGCCCTCATTGACGACCCCAATCTTGTGGTGAAGATCGGGAATAAGTAAGTTCCTCCCGAAAGTCATTTCAGCTGTCGTGTGATAATGCTTCAGTTTCTCAGCTATAGAGACCTGGACGATAGCTCTTGGAAATATATGAAATTAAGTCTTTGTTAAAAGTCTGCTACTGTCTCTTCACTCTTGGCAAAATGCCGCGTCACCATATAGCGAGAGCATTGACGTAACTGGATCCCGGGGCGTCTACACTCACCTGCATGAGATTTCATGATGGGAGGTGTGACGTCACAACCTTGGCCCGTGGGGCTCGGCCCGTATGATGCGCGGGTGTCGCACGATAGACTGTGCACACACCCCGTGAAAGCTTCATTGTCTAGGGTCAAGGGGCGTGCACGTGCTTTTACAGACTGTTGGCAAGCTTTTCTCTCCAAGAGGAAGCCATGGACGTTTACGTGTTAACTGAGGGTCCTAGTTTCCTTTTCCTTGAAAGGTGGCAAGAAACGCCCCAGCGCATTGGTGGTTGACGCGCTGCGGGGCGAGGGCTGCTCTCAGCTGGCCGCTTGGTCGCCCACCACGCCGTGTGTCGTGCCAGACGGCCGTGGCCGCTGTGGGTTTGATGGAGGAGGGGCTCCTGCAAGGGCGGGGCATGTGGGGGGCCGGGCCGGGGTGCTGGCCACAGTCTTGGGCTCTTTAAGGACCCAGCTGGGGTTCCAGAGCCTTCCACGACTGCTTCTCAGGACATGAGTTTTTCAGTCTGAGCCTTGGTCTTCTGACATCTTTTTTGTTGTTTCGTGTCAGGTACTATAACTGGACGACGGCGGCACCTCTGCTCCTGGCGATGCAGGCCTTCCAGAAACCTTTGCCAAAGGTGAGATTTACCATGAGAAAGAAAGGGACATGGAAAATGATGGCGAGATGAATGTGGGGGGTTGGAACTTAGCTTTTAATTTAGAAACCACGAGGTGAATTACACTGTGCTGTTTGGAAGTCCAAGGGTGTAAACGTCAGGGTCTCTCTTGCACCTTGACTGTCCTTCCCCCCTCCTCGCAATCAAGGCAGTGCCGGTCTGAGCCCTGCCCCCTCCAGTCCCCTGTCCCCACACCCGCCGTGCCAGGGACACAGGTGGAGGCAGAGCAGACGGGCCGACGTCTGAGCCCAAGGGAGATGAGGGGAGAAAGGGTGGGAGCAGGCAGCAGGGTTGGGCGCAGGGAGGCGCTGTACCAGGTGCCAGGTGCCACCGTCAGCATCAGGCGTCCCTCAGCCAGGAAGCAGGTCTGGGGCCGATGGGCCGAGTAGGAGCAAGTGCGGGCTCCGGGCAGCTCGTAGCTGCACCTGAGCGCAGGTGAGCGGCTGCAGGGAAGAGGCAGGGCAAGGGGCAGACGCACCGCCGTGGCCCCGCTGTGCCCACATCCTCCCCCTGCTGGCTCCCTGGGCCTCGCCTGGGATTGACCGTTTTCCGGCGTTGAGTCTTTCTACCAGATGCTACGTTCTTTTTGCTGCAGAGGCCACGTCTCACACTTGCCTCCTTCATGTGCTTAGCGAGCGCTTTGTGCTGCCGTGGATGTTGTGGTCTGTCGGAACTCTCATGTCTGAGGTTCCTGAAGGTCTAATCCGACTTCGTTGAGCCCCTGCTCTCTCCTTTGTGGTTGTGTGTGTGCGTGCTTTGGGACTGTGACCTCATCCTTGGTGGTGCTTTATCTGTGAGTATACTTTGTGGACGGGGCTGAGGGCATGTTCTCCAGAGCGGGTTTTGTTTTGTCCTCGGCAGCTTCTGCATAGCATCCATGGCCCAGGGCAGACTTTTATGTTACGTGTCTCAGCTCTTAACAGATCAAAAAGAAGAAAGAACAATGCACTAGACATTTACTGATAAAGTTCACAGAAAAAGAAATGACTCCTGAACTTAAAGAAATTAGTCTTTGTGGTAGGCGTTCTCCATCTTTCTGCAGGTTGTCAGTAATTTTTTGCATTCTGTTTTTGGTGTTTATCTAATATAGAATTTATCTTTATATGTAGAATTTTTCACCGTTTTCTTTTGTGGCTGCTGGGTTTGGTATCACACTTGGATATTTTGAGAGTCATGAGTGAGGTATCAGGAACCAAATCAGTTTTTTGTTTGTTTTTTTTTTTACTCTTCAGCTGGTTAACCGCATCCAAAATTGGAAGGATAGAGGCAGGCTTCTCACATTTCATTGGCCACAACTTGGTCACATGACCACCTCCAAGCCAGTTGCTGGCAACACAGTGGACCGGCCAGTCGAAGTGGTGCTGACCAATCGAAGTTCCTCCCCTGGAGTTGAGCTTGCCTTCCCAGAACATCCTGTACAGTGTAGTCTGATTCTCGAGCAAAGTGTTGGCTATGTTGGCAAGAAAGAAAGGGGATGATTCACCCAGGGAAGCAACCGAGAGGGTCTGTCAAAGCTACCTAATTATCCCGATACCTTTCATCAGATAACTCTTTCTCCCACTGATAGGCAGTTACAGCTCTATCATATTACCGCTTCCTGCATGAATTTAGATTTATCTCTGGACTTTGTCTTCTGTTGCATCAACGTGTTTACTCATGTCCCAACACTGCGTTCTTTTAAATACTATGGTTTTAAAATGTATTTTAATAAAATAAATTTCATTAAGGCTCATGCCTACTTATTATTCTGTCTTGAGTTTTCTTGGCGAGTTTTGTTTGTTTGTTTTATAATTGAACTTTAGAATCAATTTGTCTAGGTTTGGAAAGAATCCTGTTAGTTTTTTTTAATTGGAGTTTTGTTATATTTATGGATGGAATAGGGTAATTGACATCTTCATGAATTGTCCTATTCGTGAATTGGGTATGCATGGTTTGCTTTTTGGTGTATTTTGTGGTCTTCTTTTGTGTCAGGTAGGGATTTTTAAATGATAGAAAGAAGCACACATCAGGCTAAATATGTGAATTACTTCTCTTTCTACTTACCTGCAACTCGTTCGGTTGAAAGACTTAAATCTTTCTTTCGTTACTAGCTGAGGTATCAGCTACCTGATAGTTCTGTAAACCAAGGAAAGGAAATTAGATGACATTTACCTTGGTCCTGGAATTAGCCTCAAGATGGCTATTTTGTTCTTTGGAAATATGTAGAAAATTATTATTATTTTTTAAAGATTTATTTTATTAAAGTACAGTTGGTTGACAAAGAAAATTATTAATTAACATTTAATCTTCTCCTATTCAAGTGGCATTTATTTAGGGCAAGAGTATGAATTTTCTTTTTAATGCTTGAGCTTTTAAATCAGATGCATCTACTAATACTCAGTGTGCCACAATTTGGAAACTTACATTTACTAAAAAGATCCTGTGCATTTTACCTTTTGTTGAAGACTGTTTACCCTATACCTCATGTTAATCATTTCATTTTTTATTTTATAATCATCTTATTGAGAATAACAATATCTTAATCAGTAAACCACTTTAATTTGAGAACTTCTGGTCTGACTAATCACTAATGATTTTCAATGCTTTCTTTTTCTGTTGTTGTTGTGTTGTATTTTATTTGTTGTTTGTTTATTCCTTTAACATCTTCTTAAGTCTTCATGCTTAAGTTATCTTAATGTAATTTTGGACTCCATTAGGTTTTGCTTCTCAAAAATTTTTAATCCACAAATAGTATGTTGTGTTTCCTCTGATTTTTTTTTTTTTTTTTTTTTTTTTTTTTTTTTTTTATTTTTTTTTTTATTTT